TGAGCTCCACAGGAAGATGAGCACACTTTCAAAATACATTCTAAATGATTTAACAGCACTGGTTTGAGGACATAAGTAACAGCTAATCCATATAAGAATGCGATGACATTTCGTTGTTTCTCTGTAATCAGATAAAGTTACCAACAAGGACACGGCTAGGCACCCTTGGGACGAAATTTAAGTAGTAAAAACAAAATAGCAGCATCCACCGAGTTTAGAAGACTGTGATTGGTCCAAAGGGTGGGTCACAGACGGATTTCTCGGTTATCAAAAAAAAAAAAAAAAAAATAGCAGCAGAAAATTGTCTAGTCTCATTGCATGTGTAAGTTGTAAATCATAGGTAAAACCTGATGTATTAAAAAACAGCACATACAAGAAACACCACAAAATCTAAAAAGCAATGAGAAACGTGGATTAAACTAGAAATTGCTTGGAGTACCCAAATACATCCTGTAGTTTGCAGCAACTAAAAGCATGCTAGTAAAGGAAAAAGGCAAAAAGGATTTAGAGCATGTTTAAGTAAGTTGATTGTAAATAATTGATAAGCATTAAGTGCTAAAACTAAATTATAATAAGCAGTTACACGTTTGGCTAGAATGCGAAACGGATAATAAGCCATTGATATTTCATGGATTCTTCATTTACCTTGATGTACCCATGTTGAATTGGTGTGACAACAGTTTTGGTACTTCATGCGAATTCTTGAAGAATATACTAAAAATAGTAAAAACCTAGACACACCATACCAAATACTTCCACGTTTCCAATACTCATAAACAAATCCATGTACCAAAGTCCACCACTATAAAACAATGTATTTGATTAAGATAATACAAGTACAATTAACAGAACCAAAAATTATGTGTGTAAGTAGAAATGAAATGGAGTAGCCAAGTAGTATCTACCTATCCATCATTTTCCAGTTATTGAAAAGGAGCCTTTTTGTTACAAAGTTGTCATTATGTACCCAGGAGACCATGGGTCAAAAAGTGAAAACAGTTTCTTACAGAAATTCAAAATAAGGCCACACACAATAGAACCAATTTAATCCGATCCTTCCCCCAACACGGGGGTAGTGGAAACTTAGTGCACCGGAGTTACCTTTTTGTTAAACCCCAGAAAACACAGTAAACTCAAACATTTCAAGTCCTTACCCATCGAACAATTTCTAGACCGATATTCACCATTCCTAACCCATGCATTTGATTTGATGATAAACACACAAATAAAACAAAACTTCAGATTATCACTGTTTCAAAAACATATAGTACCATACTTAGGCAAGTAAATGAAATGAAAAGAGTTCATAATGAAACACCAAGTCATTTTGAATAACTAATTCACTATTCCTTCATCCTCCATTCATCAAAAAAACTACTTCATTCATCATAAACCCAGAAACACAGCAAACTCAAAACATTTCAAATTCTAAACCCACATGCACCATTCTAAACCAACGCATTTGATCATAATAAACAAAAAAACAAAAACTTTAACAATAACTAAGAATAGGAAATAAAAAAAAACCTTGAATTTGGCGAGAGCATTTGCATCACGATCATTACAAAACACGGTTCGATGACCAGGTGCTTGTGGTTGTACTTTACCGAGACGAATATTTTTAGAAGAAGCAATACGATTCCTCATCGCTGCATCTGCACCTCCCGCCGATCCAGATCCTCTCCATCCTCCCGGCATCCTTCTCTGATCTCGGCGGAACAAATATCTCTTCTCTGAACGAACACAAACGCTTTGATCTCCACCGGAAACCTACAGTCTTCGCCTTCTTCGTTGTTATTACCGGACAGATTAGTCTCCGTCTACAATTATTCCGATTTCGCCGGAACTACGTCGTCGCCGGTGCAATTCTTCTTCTTCCTCCTCCTCTTCTTCTTCGTGTATTTTGAAATTGTAAATTAAGTTGAAGGAAGTCGAAGAAGATGAGTTTTCAAATGTTGAATTTTTCATAAATTCGAACTTTTCTTCTTCTTCATATGCTTCAAGGACTTCTCAACCATTTTTCTTTTTTTCCCATTTTCTTAACCGCGTTGAAGAAGAGAATATTTTTGGGGAAAAAAAACGAAAAAGGAAAAGAAAAGAAAAAAGGAAATATTAATTGTTTTATATATATTTTCTCAATTTTACCTATAGAAATTCACGTGAGATATTTTATATATCAAGGAGAAACGATAAAATAATCGAAATGGTATTTAATTTATGCGTTTTGATTCGATTTGGTTCTTTCTTAATGTACAAATAAGAAGATAGAAGTGAATTGTAATATATTTTAAAAGTTATTAATTTAGTACAAATCAAATAAATAAAAACAATTCTTATTAGGTCTATTAATATGTGTAGTAAACTATTAAATTACAAAGTAAAGATAATTTTTATATTGTTTAATCTGATTTTAAAATTTCCAACTCTTTGAATATAGAGGAGAAGTTTGAAGAAAATTATAAAATTATAATTTTATAGTAAGTATATATAAACTATGTAGGCCTTGTATGAAGGAAGATGGCAAGGGTCTTGCTTTATTTTGACCAAAAGAAAAAGTAGCATTGTATTTAGCGAAGAACCATACTAGTCATATTTTGAAATATATTAATAAAAATAATTTTGTTTCTATGGTCGATTAGATATTAATTCTAACTTTTGCTTATTAGGTAAAACTTGATCAGAGGTTCATTGTAAATATCTTAAATTTCTATCTTATAAGCAAAATTAATTTAGATTCCATATGAGACAATAGCTTGCCTAGCAAATTTCCCTATTTTTGTTGAATTAATCAAATTTATTTTTTCTAGTCCTATCTCGAAATAAATTCACTTGAAATTGCTCTGCATCCTATTTCTATATTTCAGTATGTATAGAGAACTGAATTATAATAATTATAATTATTATTATTATTATTATTAAAAGCAAGGACTTGGCAAGAAACAATGACATTTCCGTAGTGCTAACGTGCGCACAAGGTGCATTGTAACTGAAAGACCGTTGAAATTTTCTGGTACGTAGCAGTTATTGGCTTTTTTCTAATCGTAATCATCGTGTTGGTTAAGGTGTCGTCAATTTTCATTTCTACTTGGCTTTATATTAAAAAAATAAATGATTTATTTAATTATTCTAACAAATAAAGAAAATTGTATTATTTTCTTTTAATATTTTTATATTAAATAACTACATAAAAAAAATCAAACAAATCAATTTAGATTTTAAATTATTAAAACATAATTAATAAGATTAGTTTAATAAATACTCCTTCGTTCAATTTTACTTATCACATTTTGACTTGGCACACTCATTAAGAAAATAACTATTGATATAAGTATTTTATCAAACTATTCATATTAAATGATATCTTGAAAAACAAGTATTTATTGTCTTTTTTTTATATGCCAAAAGTGATAAATAAAAATAAAAATTGATTTTAGAAATAAATAACAAATAAAAATAAACAAGGCGGTAAATTATTAGCAACAAATCGGCACCGTGACGGCTTAAAAATGGTAACAACTCTTAAATATCGCAACCCTTTTCCATTTTTCATGGTTGACTCACTAAAAACTAGAATTTTTGCCACCCTTCCACGCAATGCAATATAGTTTATGACGAAGGTATGCATTTATTTTTGCCACCCTTCCACGCAATGCAATATACTTTAGAATTTTTGCCACCATTCCATTATTTTGGCCGAAAGGATTTTTTCTTATTTTAATTTTTTTTATTTCATTTAAGACATTCTACTACTCTCTCTGTCTCATTTTATATGTTATCTCTTTCTATAAATAGTTGTATCACAATACTTGTCATTTTATAAAATTTATGCATACATCGTCATATTTTGCCTATTATACCCTTGATAGAATAGTTAATTAATCTTGTCATTTATTAATAAAGTTGACTTAAGAAAACATTAAATAAAGATAGAAAGGTAAAGTTACATCATTTCTTAATGCAAGGGCAAAGTAAAAAGATGACATATAAAATGGGACGGAGGGAGTATAATTTATTTCACTCAAGCACTTGAACACATGATAAAATTAGTTTAAATTTTGATTTTATTTTTTTTTTGTCTGTGCTCTCAAGTGTTTCATTACATATAGAGTTGTCAAAAAGGGACGGCCCTGCCCCACCGGGTCCCAAGCCTCACGGGCCAAGTAATTTGAAGGGCTAGGGCGGGTTGGCCCTTCATTTGGTAGGGCCTGAAAATGCTCAACTCAACCCAACCCTAGAAGGGCCGAGGGCTGGGGCAGGTCAGCCCTTTTTTTTTTCTTTTCAAACTTGTAATTCTATAACATCAAGAAAATGAGAAGATTTTCAAATCAAATATGACAAACAATGGTGTTGTTTCAATAACACTAGCAAAACTTTAGTGTAATTAGCATGTATCTCGCATACTAGATATGCAAGTGAGATAAGAGAGTGACAAGCAAGATGGGAGGGAGGCAAGGGGGCGAGATTTGTATATGTATGCTAGATACATTCAAATCTACTTTGATTAGAGTGTATCTAGAACAAATTAACCTAATTCCGACACATGTATCTAGGTACGAAGATTCATAATATTACAACATAACGTGTATTCAAATAATTAGATTATCTACTAGTGAGATTATTGTAAATTACTCTTGAATAAAAAGTTTTGCCCCATGGAACGACCCCAACCCAACCCCGATCAAGCCTCAAGGGCCAGGGGCTTATATGGGCAGGGCTTATAAGCCCTAGTTTTAAATGGGCTTGAAAAATCATATCCCAACCCTACCCCAATAACAGGTAGGGTTGGGCCGGCCCCATGGGCTAAGCCCATTTTGACGGCTCTAATTACATAGATAAGTTAATAACTTAAAATATATCTCCTCCTTTATTATATGCATTAGCCTCAATAAATCGTAAAATCTCATACATGTTCTAATTGAGACTAATGTGTATAATTTAGAAAATGACATTCTATGGGGTTAACTTAACTCCCTAATAAACCCTGAGAGCAAGCGCAAAAGTTTATTTAAAACTTTAAATCAAAAAGTGTTTAATAGAACACTTTATCCAAATAGAGTAATTGCCAAGTTTAAGGAGTTGTGGATGTTTTTTTCATCTGTGTTTACCCTATCTTTAAATGGTATTGCTAGAAACTTGAAGATCCAACAACTTACAGGCATCATTCATTTGGTATAACTCGTTGTGAACAATCGAAACACAGGAACACTGATTTTCCCTATTTACAAGACTTGATGCTATCTATTAATGGTTTTAGGACGAGACAGACCACTTTATTAAGCTAGTATAGCTACAACTTCAGCATATTGATACACCCAATTCTGTACCTATTATTAAACAAGCACTTTCACAATAATACTTATATGGTGCCTTCCACAAGTATAACAAGATAGACGAACGAAGTGGAAAATGTGGTTGTCTGTCTATCAGCTGTAATAGACATTCAACAATTTTGTGCCTGATAAAGATACTGGATATAAGCTTTCAAAGAAACCTGGACTGGCCATGTGTTCTGGCAATCGCCAAAGGCATGAACCTCCCAATGAACTTATTATTAACCTTTTGATGCAGATTTATGTTGTTCTTTCAAATCCTCCACCAAGCTGCATATGCAACCAATCTGGTGATGTTCCCCTGGCATATTCCCTAGTAGCTTGTGAACCGAATGTCATAGCATTTGTATCAAATGGCTGCTGTCCGAACTAGAAAAATTAAAACAATGTCATTTGTTTCGTGTAAGAATTGAAATGTGAGAAGGAAAACACTTCTCCAAGCACAAATTTTTGTGTTATCTCACTAATATTTTCCATTTTCAGCTCAAAGAATAGAACTCCTCCCCTTGCCTAGTTGTCTTTACAATTATTGACTTGGTTTTTCTTTACATCTTACTATTTTATCAGAAGCTAATGTTCAATGCACTGCTCCCCGTAACCTTCTCTGATCCACACAAATTGGCAATCCCACATGGATAAAGTGTTTAAAGCGATTTAAATAAAAGACATCCAGGATAAAGGATCAAATTCAAAGAAATGAGTACACCACCAGTCATTTTATCAGAAAATGTTCATGGCCACAAATCTTTGTATCAGAGTAAGTACGTTTGCTTGCCCATAAACTTCAAACCAGTCCTAAACATATTCAGCTAAGTCTCAGAAATATATGGTAGTGATGAAAATGTTTATCCAGCAAGTATTACTTCAAGGTGCTAATGACGAAACATTAAACAAGAACAGCTTGCTGAATGCAGCACAATCAACTCATTTCCCCCAAGACCAAAAAGGTGGCCTGTTAAGTACTATAATCAAGGTTGCCAGGTACATATTTATCCACCCATTTGCTGAAAAAGGACAGATGTCAAATTAGGCACAGAATCACCCCTACATGCAAGTAAGCAAGAAGGTAGGTGAGACTGCACTGAGTTGACGTTGCTTCGACAAAAAAGGTATGGTGCAGTTTAAGAAAGGATACACATGACCAAGGTGGTCACACTACCAATTAGTCATTGATGTGTCCTAGTACAGAATGAACCACAGGACTGACTTCATACAAAACTTACATCTTTAGATGGATATCCTTCTATGCTTGGCATTTTTGAATTAACCGCTTCAAGCTTCATCGATAAGAACTGCAGAATCAAGAACATGAATTACCACAAAATTCTCACAATTAGAACACTCCAACAGCAAACAAGACAGATGCTGATACATTTTTTTTGTTTTCCTGGGGGAGGGGGGGCAACATACCTCAACCTGGTGTTGTAATGATTGAATATAATTTATTATCTCATCAAGAACAAGAGCTTTGCCAATAACCTGTAACCAAAACAATCAAACTAAGTTTCTCCATCTCATTTCAACCAAAAACATTAATTCAGCTTTAGATGTTTATTTATTACAATATATTTTTCATGGGTAGCTTTTTTTTTTTATCAAGTAAAAGTTTTATGATAATAACAAGGCCAACTTGGCTGTATACAAGTGATATACCAAAAGAGGAGAAACCTACAAAATATGGTTCTCTACAAAAGACACTCAATCCTCTATACAAACAAGAACTACATGGGTATTCCAAAAGAAAATAAGGGATGGGAGATTACTCTTCAATTGAGCAAAGCTCATTTCGACCCCTTCAAAAGCTCTCTTATTCTTCTCTTCCCAAATGACCCACACGGCCACACCAAACCAAGAGGAATAACATTCCAAGCATTGTGCCTTCTTCTCCTTTGTGTTGTATATCATGAACAAAGAAGTTTGAATCTCCACCTTCCCATCTACATTAATGTGGTGAAAGCCAGTTGCTTTTGAGACATTTCTAGGTTCACTAGACTAGATACTGTAACCAAAGGAACACCATTGGTCTAAATTTTTTTATAAGTAGGAACATTTGTTGGTCTAGTTGTGGATTGTTTGGTCAGTAATGTGATAACTCCCCAAAATGCCAGACTCATCATCAAGGTCATGGATGCAGCAATCAAGAGCTTTGAGTCAAGAAGCACAAAATATCAAATTGGGCTGACTGAGCTTTTCAATTAGGATGTAGCTAAAGGACATTAAGCTAATTATTTGTGTCTTGTGTAACCGTAAGTAAAAATAGTTTATCTTTAGGGTTTTGGTTCATTAGTTTTTGATCATGTAAAGATACTCCTTGTGAGTTTATGGAATTTTCCAAACCTCCTCATTGGACCCTCTTGAATTCTTCCCTAGTAAGAATCCATGTATGAGAATCAATTCCTGTCTCGCTTGGATTATTAGTTTGTAACTGAATGATAAGTTGTTTTCATTATTTGCTATTAATCCTTTCTTTCTTTCTTTCTTTCTTTTTAATCTATTCCCCCTCCTTTCTAATTCCAATTGCATCTTCTCAATTCTATCTAGTTTTGAATAGATTGTCTCAGTTTATACATTCTTACACTTGTGCTGTTATCATAAATGAGAGGAGCATGGTCTGATATGTAAGCAACTAAAGAGCGTGGGCATGGAATATACAAAGAAATCCATGTGCTTTTGTTAAAGAAATTAGTTCAAACAAGGTCAAGTTTCAAGAAATTAACAAAAATTGATAATTTTTGGATCAGACAGGTTCTTATTTGAATACGTCAACCAGAAAGGCAAGAAATACAAGTTCCAGTGTTCCACCTAAATAATAGCATGGGACAAGTGTTTTACTTTTCAACGACAAAATAAACACCTAAAATTACATGGGTTGGCTTTACTTGTCAAAATAAAATACCATGGTACAAGAGCTTTGCTTGACAAGTAATTCATCACTAAAATGCTAAAGCTAAATCTTCTCTAGAAGAATCGGTGTACTTGAAACATTATCTGTTGGAAGTTGGACTCTATCCTTCACTCAATTAGTACTTCCACAAAAACTGAAAGAAAAATTTGTGAGGCTTTGTCTGAAGTTCACTATTGGGAGCAGGCTTTGCTAGTGAACCTAAAAACTATGTCATCTCGCCTAAAGGTGGGCACTCCCAAAGTTTTGATGTCAGAGACAGAAAGTATTTAATCAAGTACCATTAGAAAACAGAAAAAAAACAGCAGATGAAAATCAAGCACTTCGGATTTTAAACAGTGAAAAGAAAACGGAAGGTGCAATAGCGCACCTTATTACAACCAGGGACTATATCTTGGAGGACTTTCATCCTCTCACTTATCTTCTCTCTTCTAGCCTGCAAAACAAAAAGTTCAATCAGCAAGACCATATTTTTCAACTACAACCAGCATTTCATATCATGTCAAAGCTATTTCAACAACAAAGTCTAAAATTGACACTTGACTTAGAAGAGAATAAATTAGCCAAATTACTCTTTCTGCTAGACTGTGACTATCAGTAGCTTGACCCCTCCTTGCTCGCACGTGAATGTAATCTTTTGGTGGTTCAGCAAGCTTTGCAGGTTGTTCTGCAGATTTCCCTGAATTCCCTTCCCCATCACCTCTAGATTCGCAATTCTCATTTGATCTTGTAACCTTCATCCGCTTACTAGCAGATTCAGTCTGCTCAAATCACCAAATTAATATTAGAAGTCAAAAATTAACAAGGCAGAAAAAAATAATCAATTTCTCACAATGCACGGTTCAATATGAGATATTTGATTCCACATCCAAACAACCAACTAATTTCAATCCACACTAATTAGAATCTGCAAATGGATCCTCCACATACACCATTCTGTTCGAGCCCATTTCATCCCAATACTGACAAATACTTTGTACTTTGAATGAAGATTCCGGTTCTCTAAAACTGGAGAATAATCAAATGTCTAATCCCCTCGAAAGTACTTCATAAACAAGAATTAGGGAGAACAATGAGAACAAACCAACAACGACGAAAAAAGAATCAATCAATCAATGTACTCTACCCGGCCTTCTCAAGTTATCTTCAGTTTTGCTTTATACTACTCTACTTATAGACTCAATCAGGAAAATAACATAAGCTCAAAACTAAAATTGCCTAGCATGACTTCATGGCAAATAAATATCAACAAACTGTACATTAGAATTTAACTTACATCACAGTAGTTTCTACAGCTAATTTAGTAGGAAAATGAGGTAATTCGATAGAATACCAAGCTATAATAGATTTCACTAGCATTTAGGCAGTTAATACAGAAAATTAGTAGAAAATTGAGGTAAATTAGATAGAACACCGTGCTACAATATAATTTACAAACGTTTAGGCAGTTAATACAGCTTAATAGAAGAAAATTGAGGTAAATAAGATAGAAAACCAAGCTATAGTAGAATTTACAAACATTTAGGCAGTTAATACAGCTAAATTAGTAGAAAATTGAGATAAATAAGATAGAATACCAAGCTACAGTATAATTAACTAACATTTAGGCAGTTAATACAGCTAAACAGAAGAAAATTGAGGTTAATTAGATAGAATACCAAGCCATTGCCGCTAGTGGAAACTCCTTTAGCTGATTCATCATCCTCGTTTCGCTTCCTAGCTGAACCACCACCACCGCCGCTGTAATTAGTTGTTCTCCGGTCTAGAACCATGGGATCATTATTCGGAACATCACTCACATTCTGCTGCGCCGCCGCCGTAGACGACGGAAAACTATACGGCGTCTCGCCTTCACCTGCATTGATCGGAAACTGCCAGATCTCAGATAAATTAAACGGCGGAGACTGAAAACCTCCGGCGTGGTTCATCATGGAAGCTTGTGGATCCATTTCAATACCCAATCCAAATCCGAAGCGAATGGTGAAGTATTAGGCATTCACGTAGGAAATGTGAATGAGAGAAGATATATATAGAAGCTCTGCGTGTACGAAAATGGAAGTTGTTGGTGCGTACTGTATCTACTGGCGTATAATAGCGACCACCACCATTATAGAGAGAAGAAGAGACTCTTTGTGCAGTTGAAAAGAAATGACTTTGAATGAGGTATTTTCGGAGGGTCCAGTTACAGCTTTTATTGTCTTCCTCTTATAATTGTTTGTACCATACTAACGTTATTAAAAATATTTATTTCGAAGTATCGTTCTTATTTACGATTTTTTAAGGGACATGTCAAAAAGAAAATGAACAAATAACATAAGACGGAAGGAGTATTGTATTTCTCCTTTGTATGTCTATATTTCGACTCCGTACCATTCAATTATCACCGTTTGGACTTCCTTTCCTCCTTAAGATATGCTCGTTCGATATAGGCTTACCATGCTTCACGCATGCGGCATTTTGGCTAGTAGTGTTTTTGTTCTCGTTGATTGTATGGGCGACTTGTTCTTCATTGTTATGTTCTTTTTTAAGATATGTATTAAGGAAATAAATGTAGTTGAATGGAACGAAAAGGAATAGCGTTCATGGAGGTGCTCCAGGATTACAATGTCGTTCAAGATCAGAATAAGTTTGAATTGGCGGTGGACTATTGCCTTACCATTCTTGAGTGAGTTAGAGAGCAACCATCTTATCTATCGAACTAGTCAGAAATTAGCGCTTCGAATCAAAACACTAAAAGAAAAGGACCATTTATTGTATTCAGGAAATCTTGCTTCGTGGCGGAGTATTTAGTAATGTCACCCGCTCAGAGAGGATTATATGTCTGAGGACAGGTTAAGACTAAGTTTATTAAGCTTGTTTCTCATAAGATTGGGTGAGAAAATCATAACGAATCTAAAACATCAGGCCAACTTATATTTGGGCTCACAAAAATGTTACTAATATTTCCATATACGCATATTTGTTTGATAATTTATATGTCAGATTGATTATACTAAAAGTCATTACATAGTTAGATATTTAATAGTTTAAAATAAATTAACAATATATTTGAATAAAATCTTTTTATGGACAAGTAAATAAAAATACCGACCTCCGGAGGTCAGAATCTCAAAATGCAAAAATAAAAATACCAACCTCCGGAGGTCGAAATTTAAAAAATTGAATATTCCGACATAAAATAAAAATTGACCTCGAGAGGTCAGTAAATACCGACCTCCAGAGGTCGATATTGAATAGCTACCAAGCTTTTTCCGACCTAAGCTGGGATGTCGGTTTTAGGTCGGTATTTCAGGGAATACCCACCTCCGGAGGTCAATATTTGTAGGTCGGTATTCACTGTTTTTTTAGTAGTGCCATCTCACAGAACTGCAGTAGCATAACCAATTTTGAAGTGTTATTTCTATAACCATTGCACAGAACTAAGTAGCCTTCCAGTCTCTTATCTTTGAAAGTTTATTGACATGATTTCCTCAATAGTTCCTTCATCTAAAGATAAAACCATGTTGATTCTCACAAGAAATCGAGAGCGGAGCTAACCTTAGATTACACAGAATTTAGTTATATTTATGATTTTAAAATTATTAAAAAAGATATAAAATATTGATTAAGAACTCTCTATTTTAAAGAAGTAAAATTTAAAACTTAAATGTATGCTTAAAATTAGACACGCGTGTCTAATCTAGCACGAGCCCAATATCTATTATTTTAATTTATATGATATTGATAAAATTTAGAAAGTTGATTAAATTTTAAGGCTCAAATATGCCATCGAACTTTTAGAAAAGGCTCATTTATGCCATCCGTTAAAAGTTTGGCTCATTTATGCCATTGCTGTTAAAGAAAAGGCTCATCCATGCCATTTTTTTTAACTCCGGTTTTGCAAAACCATTTTTTACACACCAAACATGGTTTAACACTTTTCTATTGGTGTTTTTGGATCAAATGTACATTTTTTGCTTCTACATCCTTAAGAACACCAAGAACACATGAAGAACATAAACAACTCCAAAATTTTCAACATCTTCAATTCTTCATGAATCGCCTCAAATTTCAAGAGTAGTTTCGCTCCGAGCTAGATACCAAAACTCAATTTCTTTTGAGCTCGAATTCAACCTAACTCAACAAGACCCAATTGAAATTTCTTCAAAGTTTCAAAACTTGAACATTCTTTAATGGTAGATTCTCCAAAACTTCAAATCATTTGAAATTTTGAACATAAACTCAAAAAACACTAGTCAACAAAGATCTAATGTTAAAAACAAGAATCAAAGCAAATTTTGAAATTTTGGGACTGATTTTCGTTTTTTGGAATATATATTTTTAAATATGGGTGAATTTTTTGAACTCTACAAATGATTTTAGAATTTTTGTTTTTTTAAAAAAAGAAATTAATGGTGTAGCCAAAATTTGAGATGATTTCGTGAAGAATTGAAGATGTTGAAAATTTTGGAGTTATTTATGTTCTTCATGTGTTCTTGGTGTTTTTAAAGAAAAACAAGCAAAAAATGTACATTTGATCCAAAAACACCAATAGAAAAGTGTTAAACCATGTTTGGTGTGTAAAAAATGGTTTTGCAAAACCAGAGTTAAAAAAAATGGCATGGATGAGCCTTTTCTTTAACAGCAATGGCATAAATGAGCCAAACTTTTAACGGATGGCATAAATGAGCCTTTTCTAAAAGTTCGATGGCATATTTGAGCCTTTTCCCTATTTTTAATGTATGACAAGTATATGTGTACATTGCAAGATGATTTATGTACCATGATAGTAACTATTAAGACATAATTAATCATATATAATATCATAATCTTGAATTAGGGTTAGATATACATATTATTCAATTTCATTGAATGGTAGCAATTAACAGTCAAGTTTGAGATTGAACTTTCGTGATTTACTAGTTATCATGCCTTTACCAATGGTGAAGTCAAATTTTTTATTAAGAAATTATAAAATATAAGAAAGTAAATATGCAGGAAAAAAAAAAGGAGATATAACATCTACTTTATATATGTATAACATTTTTCTTCTGTATAATTTTTCGTCGAAGGAGATTGAGACGAAAAAACGAAAAATACCAAACTTCTTGAATTGTCAAGAAATTAAGGTTAGGAGGTACCTAACGGCTAGGATTAGAGCCAATGGTGCTGCTGTCAAGTAATAATCTAATTGAAGTATGTGGGTCTCATTTAATTTGTTAAAATTTGAGAGGGTCACTTTCTCATGTATTAATCTTTTGGGTTTGGTTTAGGCAGTAATTAAAAGATTAGTACTAATCATTATCATGAAAGGGAGGTTTAATTAACATTTTGGCTTTAACTAAATTTTCATTGACTAATGATTGTTATAATTACGATTACGTGGATCTTACTTGTGTGCAAGTTATAGATAATGACAATTTTGGGTTAAATATCATTTGCTTAATTTTGCTTGATTTTCCATATTTGTTAATTTCCCCTTTTCAATGATTTCTCTTTGTTTGATTTTAAGTGGTTAGTTATTTGCTTATTGCGTACTAATTAAGGTCACGTTATAATTCCTTGATATAGTCCAAGTTAGCTCGTGACATGAGCAGAGACTTGCTTATGAGTTCACATGAATTTAATAATAGTTTTTGTTTTATTCATACGTATATTAAATTTTTTAATGAATATCAATAAATACTTGATTGTGAGTCAAATTTATTAGTATAATATTTACTTGAGATTGAAGTAAAAAAAATTAAACTTTAAATCATGAATCTGTCTCAACACTTAATAAAAATCTGGAGATTCAAAATAGTAATTCTTCTTTTTTTCTTGTGTGTGATTTGAGCATGCAACAACAATAATAACAATAAAAATAACAATATATTCAATACAGTCTCATGCAAAATGAAGTTAGAAGAGGATAGAGGGTACGTACATCTTTATACTCCTCTCAAAGCTAAGGTAGAGAAGGTTTGTTTCCGATAGACCATCTAGTCAAGAAAAAATAGCCAAATCAATCTAGGAAAAGAAGTAAACACAGAAGTACAAGAAATATCAAATAATTATAACAAAAACAACATATAGTAACAGAACAGTAACTACAACAAAATAATACAAAAATCGAAGTATTAAAAATAACAGATAGTTATAACATAAATAAGAAACTAGATGAACAATATTATAATTGCTAGTATATATGAACGTATAAAAAGACAACGCACTATATCCTAATCAGTGGTGTAGCCACCCTTACGTCGGAAAGCTATACCGTATATATAAGTAAAATGATAAATAAAGTGGCTAAATAACATATTTTGGACACTCATGACACAACAATGTGATGTAGACTAGTGATTTCAAGCGCCTTAGAAGAGTAAAGACACACGAACTTAAAGTATTCGCGTGTTTGAATATCACTAGTAGCAAAAAAAAATCACTTTTTAAGAAGAGCAAATTCACTTTAGCACTTGGACACCCTTCGTGAAATTGCTGGCTCCACTGCTGATCCTAATTAGTTTTCTTCCCAACCTCCTATCTAAGGTCGTATCCTTATTAATTTGAAACAACGCTATAATGTCCAGCCTAATAGTAGTTGTTATTATTCTACTTTGCATGTACGTAGAAATTACGTAATTGATGGTTTTATTTATTTATTTATTTAAATTCCTTTCACTGTAATTAACTAGAGAATAAATATTTATGGCATATGACCAAACTCCTTTTTTTGCTATCGACCAATACCAATTAAACCTTCATCATAAATGGAAATTTGAGAGCTGCTTTAAACTGTTTTCATGCCTAACTAATTATTGAATTATTCAAAATCATATTATCAGTTTTAGTCTAATTTTTAACTTAATGCGTGTGCTCGGTATGAGGGAAAATACTTTTTAGAAAAATAAGTGATTTTTATTTGATACGTAAGTAAAAAAATATTAATGAAAATAATTTGTATATAATTTTGAAAAATACTTTAGGTGGTGAGTATAGAATACTGTAGAGCTGTTGAATCAAATATTTCAATTAATTTTGAAACAATACATTTGATAAGAGTTTTGATTTTCACATTGAAAGAATGTAAATTCATAAATTTTATTCTCGTAAGGATTAATCCAACCGAGGGAATCGAAATACTACGATTATAAAAACGATTAATGTTGTGTTTGATATTAACAAGATAAATTGTAGTAAATTTGTATTTCCTACATTAGAGTAACGTTGTGGGAAATTGAAAG